CAGACAGGCTCCATTATAAACACAATGAGGCTCTTATCCACTGTCTTCCAGGATCAGGCCTGGGCCAGAGTTCTGCAGCTTGAAGCCTACAGTTTCGAATATTCCCGGCTCTTCCTTTTGGCTGAGGGTGGAGATAGCCTGCCTGAGGTGGGCAGGTCACTAGGGGCAGGATTCTGACCAGAGGACAGCTGGTATCTAAAAAGCAGGGGTTCCCAAGGAAGCCAGCCAGCCTTTGGACCTCATTTCTGATAGCTGGCTTCCATCTCTAACTAGTGTCTATGTGTTTCTGTGCATTAAACCGTATGTAATAGCGGGGTAATTTTTAGAATTTACATTGCATGAAGTCTACTAAAGGGAAGGTTGCCTTTCATCTATCTTATTTGTAAGTGAACAAAATGTAAATTATTAAAATATAAATAACAAAGAGGATAGTAAATCTTTGCTCCTCGTGTAGAATAGCTGCAGTAATTATAGAGTTTATATATAATTACCATCTGGCATGATGGTTATGAGGTACTATTGTGTGCTATAAATTATACACCAAACTCTTTGTGATTAAGGGAGTCATTCCTGCTCAGTCAAGTGTGCTCCTGTAGCCAGGGTGAAGCCATTAAAGGTAATTTAGGCTTGGTTTTTATCTTTGTTTTTCTTTAGGGAGCACAAGCAATTCAGCAGCAGGTGAGCTTGTTATATTTCATTCTGGCAGGACCAAAATAAACATACTTTTTTGAGATAAAAAAAACTTTAATGCCATTTTTATTTATAAAAGAATTCTGAGAAAAGCTTGAAGCATTTGGCAAGATTTTAATCTAAATAATCCTCACAATAAGCTCTGGAGTTTATACAAAAGTCTATTGTTTAAAGTCACCAACGGTTAGAGACCACAATGAGTTACTTTGTATGCAGTTGCTTCTGGTCCAGGTTTAATTCATGAATGTTATAACAGAAGGAGAATGACTATGAGTTATTAGTGAGCTAATAAGCATCAATCAGTGTAGGAGCACCGCGCTTACTCCAGCACTTGCCTTTTCTTCCTTCTTATTTCTTTTTCTTTTTCTTTTACTTTTTTTTTTTTTGAGACAGGATCCTGATTCAAAGTATCGGATGGGATGACCTCAAACTCATGGCAATTCTCCTGCCTCAATCTTCCCTGTGTTTAGATTACAGGGATGAGACACAGACACACCAAGCTTTGAAAATGTTCTTAAGAATGGCTTTCCTTGCTTGCTTTTGAAACTAGTTAGACATTTATGTTAGAGGGGAATGTAAAACTGTGGATGGGTGCCCTATGATTAAAATATTTTTTATGAATCTATCCATAAGTATTTTCAGGGCTCCTACTATATCTGATATTAGATACTATGGATACAGAAACAGTTTAGGCTAGCTTCTTGACAAACAGCATTATGCATACCCTTGTCTTGTGATTTAATTCAGGAGCCATGGTCTCTAATCTCCCTCTAGTAAAGTCAACGGGGGATCTATTTTGATCTTACAGTGTCCCTATATAGTAGACAGGACAAACATTCATTTCCTATCCTTCTCAGACAAGAAACGACCTCAGCAATAGTGTGTAGTAAGGGGGTCACAGACAATGAAGGACAAAATTAGAAGCTGCACCCGATTCTGCCGAGTTCTTGGGTAGTTCTTATCTGAGATGAAGCACTCCCTCTTCTACCTTCATCTTCCAACTTCCAGGCCAGTTACTACCTCCCAGACTTCACAGTGAAATGCTGACACCCTCAACCCCCATCTTATCATTTTATTTCCCTAAGCACCACTACAGCACGAACAGAACAACACTTAGCAATATTTGCTTTAAAAACTATAGGAAAACAAAACTAAAGGTATTAAACAATGACCTCAGTTTCCTACAGATCTGACTTATAAGGCAGATTTGTCGACTGGGTAGATGTCCTGCATCTGGGAGTCCTCCTGTGTCTCCTACCCAACCTAGGAGGGGCCTTTCCTATACTTGGGAGAATTCTCTTGTCTGTCTTGGGACCTTCCTGTTTCCTCCCTTGGGAGATGTTTCAAATTGAAACTGTTCATTCTGTTAACAGAATAACCCCAGTGGAAGCATGTATCATATTACTAGCTGTGTATCACATTGTTATCACTGTTCATCCTACAGAATCCATGTCCCGAAAAGGAGAACACAGTCCAGCACATCCTATGGGAACCTCCTGTGACCACACACTCTGAAAAGAGAGAAGCATTCTAGAATATTCAGTATTGAACCTGTTGACCAGGTGGCCTCTTCCTGTTTCAATATTTATAATCTTTTTCAGCCCTCCGCCAACTTATTTCCCAGGATGTACAGCGGTTTCAGAGCTCTTGGTTTTCTGTGTATAAAAAGTCTCTGTACACTTCCAGGCTTTTCTCCAAGTGGTTCCATTTGCTCACGGGAAAAAAAAAAAGATAACAAGGAAGACGCTGAAGAAATTACTGACTTTAAGCACAGAAACCATGTGTGGTTGAGTTGTTGCTCTGTTTCCTAGCTGTCTGATCTTGACCAAGACACTTGGCAATCTGAGACAGTGTCTTTGCCTGTGTAGAAACAACAGGTATCAGTGACTGAGCATCCCATGCTAAAACATTGTGTCTTGTTTGACGTGCTGTTTCAATCTTTATCACATCCCTATGAAGTGGATACTATTACCATGGACATTTGGAAGGCAAGCAAAAGTAGATTAACTTGCCAGAGACTACTAGGTAGGGGATGGTGAAGCCAGGATTCAAAGACAGGCAATGAGACTCCCAAAGCCATGTTTATAATCAATACCTTCTTCATTACCACGTTTAATAGCTAACTGAATTAATGTAAGTCAGTCCTTGCATAGTACCTGGCACAGAAGCAAGTCCTAAGTAAATCTTAGCTGTTTTATCATGTTTAGCTTTGTTACTAAGAGACACATGGGCCAGAAAATAGGCTTTGACATAGATTTGTGTCTATATCAGCTAGGTTTCTTTCAGCTGTACTGGCAAAGCCTCTGGAGCTACCTAAACAATCTACATATTACGGGCCACCTGGCTGAAAGGTAGGTTAAATGGCTGGTGAACTATCTCTTATGCGTTACAAAAACAGAAAAAGTCCCCAGCCTGGAAAAGAGCATGAAACCCCACATAAAAGCAAGCATAGCGAGTGGCCGTCAGCACAGTCGCAGGCCTTGCCGCTGAGAGCGTCACCTTCCAGCAGCTTGTCTGCTGTTATAAACACCAAACACGGAGAAACAAGGCTGTAAAGGTGGTCATGCCCGGTGTCTATTGGCAAAGGTCTACTGGTCCGTTGGAAAGCACAGGGATATGTCATGCTATTAGTACCAGGGCAGGTCTAGGAACAACACCTCATGAGATGTAAAAAAGGAAAAGAAGAAAAGGGAAGAACAAAAGTATATTTCCAGGTTCTGGAGAAAATTGAAATCCCGTATATTCTCTATTGCTGCAAAAAAATTCCAAAATGTATCCAAAAACCAGCAGACACTCATTATCTCACGCAGTCTCTGTATCATCTGCGAGCGGCCTTGTGGGGTAGTTCTGGATCAGGATGCCTCACGGAGCTTCAGTTGTCGGGAGTGGAGTCATCCAAAGGATTTACTAGGGCTTGAGGGCCCTCCGCTAGCGATTCATTCACATGGCGGTTGTTGAGGCTAAGCTCCTTCTCTTGTAGGCCTTTATGGTGCTGGATGAGTTCCTCATGAGGTAGTAGCTGTTTCCTCACAGTGCAAGAGACCCAAGGGTGACAATAGGGAGCAGATGCAATGCCTTTTATGACCTAGTCTGTATGTCACAGTCCCTCCTGCCATTTCTGTGCAGTACAGGTCATACACCATTACTAAGTGCTGTCCACAAGCGAGAGGAAGGGAGCTGAACTCTCCTGAGGAGCAGGGCTGTCACAGAATTTAGGGACATAGCTAGAAGGGAGCTGAACTCTCCTGAGGAGCGGGGCTGTCACAGAACTTAGGGACATACTGAAAATCACCAGTTTCTGCTGTCATCTAAGCACTGTCTCCAGAAGCCAGCAAGACAGGAGTCAAAACAAAACAGAATGCATAACCCAGCCCTCCTCAACGCAGCTTGCAGTAACTGTTTTTGTCTCCACTGTCCTGGAGCATCCACGCTCCTCCTTCCTTGAGGCTGTGTTCACAAGACTCTGATGACTACTCCTAGAAGTTTGAAGCAGAGAGAGGAAAGGAAATCCCCAGTGAGCTCTCTCCTTTGGCTATGACCAGTGTCCTGATTGGTAATAATAGTATAGGTAATAGTCTTCCCTTCCTGCTTTAGGGTGTGTAGTTCAGGTTCCCTTGCTGTCATGACTGCAGCTCTGGGAGAATTGTGTGGAAACTTAGAAAGGAGAGATGACCGTGGAATACAGAAGTAGCCAGTGTGCTCACTCACACATGACTCCAAGGTGTCAACAGTCTCAGAACCAAATGCTTCGTGCGATTTTTATTGTATTTTTGTGACCTGTAATTTGGTAAGATATAAACTGTTTTTACAATACAATCTTTTTGAAAAACCAATAATAATAATAATAATAATACAGTCTTTGTAAACACCAGGAAAGTAGGAGCTTGCAGACCACTACTGGAAGGCTGGAGGTGTAGCTCAGTAGGTAGACCCCTGACCTAACACGCGTGAGGCCCTGGGTTAGATCCCAGGAATCTCCAAAAGGGGAAAAATAGAAGTCAGAAATTTACACCTTAAAAGGAATTTTCTGACTGTTATCTTTAATCTGGTGCCTGGAGGACATTTGAGAATTTGACAAAAGATAAGGAAAAGAAGCTCACACAATTTTGGACAAGGAGCATAGCAGTGAACAACACAGAAGACACATTTGCTGAGAAACAGGAAACATAAGGCAAGCCAGAGAACTACCGACCATCATAGTCTTGTCCTAGTCATTTGACCAAACTAAACAAATTTTTATCAATTTGGCAAAAGAAAAGCTACCAAGAAACCCACTTAGTAAGAAAGCCCTAACTGACGTTTCCCATCGGTCATCCATAACCAAGATCGGACCCGAGATTCCCCAGGCCTGTCTCCAGTGGAGGGAAATTGCGAGCAGTGACACCCAGCCTAGGAGGGGGACCTTTCCGCGACACACCCGAGGGCTCCGAGCGCACGGGACCTCGGAGGCGAGGAGGCGGGGCTAGGAGGAGCGGGGGCGGGGGGCGTCGCGTGGCCACGCCCCCCTGCGCGCCCCCGAGTCGCGGGCAGCCTGCGTGTCCGCGCCGACCCCTCCCTCGTGCCTCACGGGCGGGCGCACGCGCCGCCTCGCGCAGGGGCCCGGAGGAGGCCGGGCCTGTCAGACCCCGCGGCCGGCCTCCCCGAGCGGCGCGAGGCGGGCGGGCGGGCGAGCGCAGCGGCTGGAGCTCGGCCTCGATCCCGGTCCGGGACGCAGCAGCGCGAGCCGCCTGGAAGGGGGGATGCGCGGTGTCGGCGGCGGCGGCCCGGGGTAGCTGAGCGCCGCGGGATCCCGAGCCACCCCGGAGCTGGCGCGCGGTCGGGGCGCGGCGGTCGGAGCGGGTCTCGTTCTTCTCACGATGGGCAGGGACGCGCGGCGCTGCCCTGAGGAGCCCGAGCGCCGGTGAAGGCGGAGCCGCCGGCCCTCTGCGGCCATGGCCGGTCCCGGCGCGTGGAAGCGCCTCAAATCCCTGCTCAGGAAGGACGACGCGCCGCTCTTCTTAAATGACACCAGCGCCTTTGACTTCTCGGACGAGGTGAGCGACGAGGGGCTTTCGCGCTTTAATAAACTTCGAGTCGTGGTGGCCGACGATGACTCGGAAGCCCAGGACAGGCCTGTGAACGGGGCGCACCCGGCCCTCCAGGCCGACGATGACTCCTTATTGGACCAGGACTTACCTTTGACCAACAGTCAGCTGAGTTTGAAGATGGACCCCTGTGACAACTGCAGCAAGCGGCGCGAGCTGCTCAAGCAGAGGAAGGTGAAGACCAGGCTGACCATTGCCGCCGTCCTCTACTTGCTGTTCATGATCGGAGAGCTCGTCGGTGAGTGCTGTCGCCGCCACCCTGGCCCTTGACTTTGTCCAGCTGGTAGCTACGCCTAACTTGAGGTGGGAACTTTGTTTTCAGAAAGCGAGTTAGGTGTGGAGAGACCTGTGCAGGGCTTGAAATGGCCACCCGATTCCAAAGTGCGGTTCCCTGGGCGTCCACAGAGAGCTTGCAGGGATATCTTGTAGTTCCCCCAACAGTGTGCCGTCGCCTGTAGGGTTTAGAATCAAACTTGATTGTGTATCTTGTAACTTCTTTTACAGATTCTGATGGGACACCGGGTTGCTCTCGGAACATCTAAAATGATTCTAACATTGCTTAGAATCCGAATTGTGTACGGTTAAGGGGCATTGCTGAAGACCATCTGTTTTCCCACATGGGGGTTCTGAAAGGGTTAACTTAGAAGGCCAACTTCTTGGGGGATGGCAGAGCCATCTACAATACTAGACTTTCTACAGTTGGCTTGTTTGATCGTTTTATATATCATTTACCTTATATAACCAAAGGCTTTACAGAATTCAATCCTGCCAACTAACTGGAAGTTTATAAGGACAATCCAAGTGAGCTCGAGGGCTCCTCCACAGTTGCGAGAGCTTGTTTTCCTTCTCATTTTTTGATTATTTCAGATAATAATTTCTCACTCTCAGGTTGGTAGTTTAGACCTTATTTTTGCTACCCCATTAGTTTACAGTCACCCCTTCATATCCAAGGTGGATTGGTTCCAGGAGTCCCCTCTACAAACCTGAATCTCAGGATGCCCCATCCAAAGGCACCTTATGTAAAAGTCCCTTGCATAAATGAAGCAGCCTGTTATTTGCATATGGCCTACATAGGCACCCGTCTGTACTTTAAATTATTCGGAAATTAGTTCGACTACAAAATACCATTGTTCTGTATTGTTTAGAGAGCAAGTCTATGCATGGTGAGTCCTGAGGCACTGGTGTTTTTCAGACGTTTTCCATCCATGGTTGGTGGGATCCACGGATGGAGTACTTGCATCTAGAGGGGGCTGATGAACAACTTCTTAGTGACAGCTTAGGAAGTGACATTAACGGGGGAGATGACTCTCTCCCGGTGTCTCTTACAGTGAACTATGACGGCACGAGACCTGGCAACCCAGATTTCCAATGCTTGGGTGGAAGCTGTGTGTAGCGAATCATGTTTGTCCCCTACCTCATGCCATACCATGCTTCCTCAGAGTGAGCTCACCTATGATGACCCTCTTTCTTTTCCTCGGGCCTGCCTTCCTCCTGCCCTTATGCCTTTCATACGAGTTGATCCCCCAATATTTTTCAAACTTTTGTTGACTTCACTGCAAATAAGAAATACACTGTAATAAGAAACATTACACATGCAAACATAGGTACTTGCCTTAGGTATGTGCCTATCCACAGATCTGAGCATAAATATGTGCTGGGCAAACACAAATCTTATAGGCTATATTCTAATGTCGTCAGTTATCTCTCAGCGAAGTCTGCGACCCACTAACTGGCTAGATGTGGCGCATCACCCACCTTCCAGCTTTTTCAAGCCAGTTTACTTCATTTCCATTACATGTGTGTGTGGGGGATGAGTGTGTGCACATGATTGAGTGCAGGTGCCTAGAGGCAGCAGATCCCTGGAGCTGAGTTACAGGTGGCTATGAACTCCCTGTTGTGGGTGCTGGGAACAGAAACAAGAGTAGCAAGTGAGCTAACCACTGAGCTGCCTCTCCAGCCTCTGACCTCAGCTTTTATATCCCTGCCTTTAAGCCCAGATCATCCCTTGGCTAGCTGTTAGTCGTCTCTCATTTCAGAAGACACCTCTGAAAGCCTCGTGTTTGACTGTCTGGAATAAGCCTGTCATTTTCCCACTTTTACTGTATTTACATGCCTTTTATTTGCTGACGTATAAGCCGACTGCCTAATACCTCAAACAGTGAACGATACAAAGCAGACATAGTAAATGAGCTTTTGTTGAATTTTTAATTACAGTTTTAATTTCTCCCATATTGTATGCTGTTTATAATGAATGTTATTCATTATACACACCCATTCTTTCTCACTGGGAACCTTCTTCCCAACACGGGTCCCACTTTCATGTCATTTTAGGGTCTGTGACGCCCTCAGTGACTTGTGAGCACTGGAGAAAAGTTACTTCTGAAGCGTGGGCAGATGATCAGTAAGAACCCCGTGGAGAGAAGTGGCACCCTCTTCCCCAGAAACCATTAGCTGTCAGTAGTCCCTCGGGGAGAGGTGAAACTATGAATTCCTCTCTCTTCCAGATAAAATATTGACAGGCCCAATCTTGCCGCAGTCTTGTTAAGGAATCACGGGGGCACCACGTCCATAAGCACCGCAGCTGTGCCATATGCAGAAGGCATCTTTTGTGGCACATCTCCCCACCCTCCAGCTCTGAACTCTTCCTCCCCTCCTCCACATGTTCCCTAAGCCTCAGAGGAGGCAATATTGATCTTCCATTTAGGGCTAAACACTCTGAATTATTTTTTATGTTAGAGAATTCCAAATGTGTGAACTGTTAATGCAGAAATGGTAAGTTGTAGTCAGAGCGTGATCTCATGACTTCAGCAGATGAAGTTCCAGGGACTTTCTCAGACTCGTGCAACTAAAATATCTTCAGACTCAGTGGTTTTTGAAGCTGATAGTGAGTATCTGAAGTTAGTCATGTTAAACATAATTTTCTCCCTTAAAATTACTCTAGATGTGACTTCTCTTAAGTAAAAATTAATATTTAATTGTCCTGACTTCTCTCTTCCAGAGTCTCTTATTTGGTTAATACTTTCCAATCTGAAACCCAAATATAGAAGAATCTTTTGTCAGTAATACAGAAATAATAGGAACCATAGTGCTCAGAATGTTATCTAGACTTAGATCTAGTGGAGTGCTTATTAAAATATGTCCAGAGAACTTAGAAATAAATCATTTATGTGGGAAGTATGAGCCAATAAAAAATTACGTAAAGATTTGAAAGAAGGGACTTGATTTTGAATCTAGGTTTGCCTCTGACTTGCTCAAGACATTGCAAGGGGTCCCTTCTTTTCTCCCTTCTGTTCAACAGATCCTTTCTGGGTACCTACATGTTAGTTTGCATGCACTGTCCTACATGTTCTGGCTCTGTGATAGAAAGCAAGACTGTTATTATCATAAGTTCTTGTACTAACATAGGAGACAAACATTAAATAGCAAGTGATTAAATTGTAAATTCAGGTATTAAGTTCTATGAAGAAAAAAATAGACATATTACCCAGTGGGATATAGTTTTGGCTTGATAGGAACATTGAAAACCAACAACAAAAAGGATATTAGGAATCATCCAAGCAAGGAAAACAGCATGTGCAAAGGTCCCAAAACTTTCAGTTCTTTTCAGAAACTGAACAACTAGTGTAAGTGGAGTGTAATAAGCATAAAAGAAGGAGGCAGGAGGACCAGATAAACAAGTCCTGATAGACCACATTGAATGAGTGCAGTTTCTGTTCTAAGTACAATTGGAAGCCAGTGAAGGGCTTTACGTAGGAGGGTGACTTTTTACACGATCACCGCGGATGTTCTATGAAGAAAGGAATGGGGGTGCAAAAATGGGAGCGGACTTAGAGAGCTCCTGGTTAGAAACAAACCTGAGCAGATACAGAAAACTGCACAGCTGGAAACAGAATCTCGAGGGAAGGTAGACAGAACTGACTGATCTGGACGTGGGGGTTGAGGAGAGAGCAGGTCCCGAATGATCCTGAGTTTCTCACTTACCAGTTGGATACGTGGGAAACATCATTTATGAAGTGGAAAGAGGGTGCAGAGCAAAACCAGGACATGGACTCAATGACTGTTTAAACATGTTCATTTTCATGCTTCTGCAGACAAGGAGAAATGTCTGGTGGGCTATTAAATACAAACCTGTGCTCCAGAAGACAGGCCAGCACAGTAGATGTTGTCCCCAGAATAGGCAGAGTTACCTGAGAGCCCATGTCTTGAGGACTTTCAACTTTAGAAAGGTAAACAGGCAAACAGATGTCCCAAAATCCAAGGAAATAAACTACATCAGTCCCCCTCCCTTACTGTTCATATCACTATCGTTTTAATCGATTACAACAGCCATATCCAAAGTTATGAAATGGAAAGTTCAAGAACTAAATCACCCATGTTTTAAATTGTTCACTGTTGTAGGTACTAAGATGGAATCTTAGAGTCCTGCTCCATCCTGCCCTGGATGTGAATCATCCCTTTGTCTAATGTATCCACTTGTAACTTTTATTATGGTGTATTCTTGCAGCTGTTCTATCTTATTATTAGTTATTCTCTTAGTTTCTTACTGTCCCTAACTAATAATTTAAACTTTATCATACACATACAAAGTGTTGTATGTGTATGAAAAATATATGTACAGTATTTTGTACTAGACAAGATTCCAAGTGTCCAGTGACAGTCTGGGAATACGTGCCTCAGGGTAGCATGAGGAGGACTATAGTATTTCAAAGAGGAAATAAGAGATTTTCTTAGAGGAAAAAAACTAAGATATCCTGTTGTAAGTAGGTCACTTGTTTGTTCCCGACTGCTCATCCCCAAAATAATCACAAGGAAAACCATATTATTTGCAATACTGTTTGACCAATAGCTT